AAGCATATGCGCACACACACACACACGTCATAATTATTACTGTAGTATTTAGATGCTTTAACATATAAAAATATAATAATAATATGTCCATGAATGCTCGGATTAAAAAAAAGACAACACTCCTCTGTTATCATAAATCCTTTAATATATGAAAGGGGCATATTTTAAACACAATATACAGTGTAACAGACCATGTCCCACAGCTTTCATATGCAACGACTCTTTACAAGGCTTACCCATCCGAGTAGACGGGTCTAAAGTGAGAGAGCGGGTGGATAACATGGTTGTTTGTTGTATTCTGCTGCAACCGAGACACAACTCAAAACTGTACTCGCAAACTAAGTCAAACCCAGAAAGCCGTTCCTGTTGCTCAGCGGAACAAAGGAATATTTATAGTGTTTTTTTTGTGTGGCTAAAAGATCAGTAACTACTGAATCCGTATTCCCCAAGTGTAAAACCCATGAAACTCAAAACACTTTTTTGTTCCAGTCAGATCACGCTTTGTGCCTTGATCAAATGTCGTGACCCGGTGTGGAAATGTCAACACTAACAACCGTGATATTGCTGTTAGCATGGTCACAAACCAGTCAATTATGCTGCTTCTCTGGGCTCTGTGGCCAGCGAGAGCATGTGAAGACTTGTGAATGCCTGATGTGTTGCCAACTTCATAAACACAAAATGCCTCAAAACATTAAGCAGACGTCAAACCATAAAAAAAGGATCACAGGGTAGATTATCAGAGGGAAATACATGTCTCTTTGTTTGTGAAAGGGAAATAAAAAAAAAAAAAAGAAGTTCAGTCACATTATTCATATAGTGCATATGCAGCTAAATACGTTTTAGATCAATAAAGTATTATCAAAACCTGGGCATGGAGATGATTTCCCCCTCATTGTTTACAGCTAAGTGAGATTGACGAGCGTTGCTCGACTGGTGGTTTCTGTCGATTTAAAGTCTTTGCGATTGCATACGAGGTCTGCACACACACGCCTGCAAACAGAAGAAATGGAAAGCTCATCTGCTTTCATGGTCACTGAAACACATCAAAATCAAACAAAAAAAATGAACCAGAATAACATCTCAAACATTGCTAAAGACTAACCCTTTATTTCACATTCCTCATGCTTCACTTGTCTTGTACGATGCACTGCACGAGGGTAAGAAGAGCGTGGAGCAGTGGGTCCACGCCGATACACTTATACATTCATGGTATGCACAAGGCTCCTCCTCGGGAATGATTTTACTGCCCACGGGGAGAGCAGAGAAATTAAGAGGGCGTTTCATAATGCAAGGCCATTATGCTAAAGGACAAAGCACAATTAGCATTGTTTTCTCCCTCCCCCTACATTAAAGGAATACAAAGCCCAAAATTACCCAAAGCTGTTAAAACAAACAGACTCTACAAAGTCACCTTTGTAATGTCTGCATAATAAAGCCACGCTACTACAACTGATTATTATGGCATTATTGTCCTTATTACCAAGGTGACTGTCTGATTATTGGCATATCCAGCCAGACACGGCAGTGGCTGCAGAGAGAGAGAGGAGAGAGAGCTTTTTGTCTAAGAGCTGCAGCTCCGTACTGCAGCAGAACTGACACCCGTGGCCTCCATCAGCCTTCAGCCAGATCCTCAGCATCACTCAAAAGGCAGCAGCCCACCATTTTATCATGTACCACACAGTCTTCTAGAATGCATAAGCAGAGGAGGTTTTTTTTGTCATGAGGGGAAGGGGTGTCGAAGACCCTGAGCAAACACTTCCAAATAATGATGATGTATGAAAAAAAAAATGAAAACACAAAGATGTGTCGAACTAATTAATCACCCGTTATCTGTTATCAACCTACTTCTGAGGAGATTAAACGAGAAAGGTGTGAAGGGAAAACAAACTGGTTTATTTATTCCTGATCTTCTAGACTCCAGTGGGACAGATTGATTTACAACAGTTAGTGAAATCAAAGAGGCCCACACACACACACACACACACACACACACACACACACACACACACACACACACACACAGAATAGAGAGATGTTATATCACATAAGGCTGTTAATGTTTCTGCATTTCATCTGAAGGGGGGGGGGGGGGGGGGGAGTCTTTTTTTTAAACCCCGCTCGGGGCCCTTACTCATTGATTACAGCTGAAGAGCTGAAATGAATGAGCCTCTCCTGTGGAAACCTTCAACCGAGAGTCGTTAAAGACTCACTTCAGTCACCCCAGTACAGATGCACTGTGCTGCTCTGGATCTATTCCACTCGCTCACTTCGTGACACCTGAATCCAAACGATTGATGTTTCCTCTTGCGTTTCTCTCTCTCTCGCTTTTTTTTTTTTTCAAACGAGCCCTGTGTTTAAAAATACATCAAAATGACAGGCTCTGAAACAGGTGCAGTCAGATCAGGTAGTGTTTTGAAGAGGGAGCGAGTGGGTGAAAGCAACATGCGACATTAAGCATAGCAGGCGATCATAAGGTGCTGTTACTGAACGAGCCTGTCTGTCTGTCTGTCTGTCTGTCTGTCTATAGACTACAGACGGACTCAGTGAAGCAGTGTTTGGTGTTCTGCTCACAGAATATTAATGCTACTCATCTTTCAACTTATGTGCATTGCAATTCAAAACATTTTGTTTTTGGCTGGGTGTGCCAAATCATGCCTGCGCTGCGTATCTGAATGACACTGCTACAACTGTAGTGGTTTAAATGCAGACAAAAACAAAACAAAATGTACAAAAAGCATCAAGTGAACCCAGTATATCAGAAACTACATTCTGTGAGGATCATGGACGAGGGATGAAGAGCTGTGACTTAATAATGTGATGCCAGAGACCACAAGCTGAGTACAAAGTCTAATAAACGTGAGAAAGAACACAGAATCAGAATATGTCCCCGGCCTGGAAACAAAGACAACACGGCACATTGAAAGGCTTGTTGTTACCTTGGTTATTGTACTACATATCAATAATCTAGTCAACGTTTAAGCAGCATTCATGTTATATTGAGGCTGTTGCTAATATGAAAAGGCAACAGCTTGTTTGTTTTTTACTATTCTATTTAAAAACCAGTCCAAACTAAAGACACAACATTGATTAAAAGAAAAAAAAAAAAAAGCTATATTGTAACAAATTTTTGTTTGACTTCTTATTCCAACTGGCACTTCTCGCATAAAAGAAACAATAAATTCACATTTTGGCTGTCTAGAAATGCTATTTGTCATTTGCTTGGCGTTCCTTATAAGAAACACAAATGAGGCCGGACAGAAACCTTGGCAGTTCGCGTGTGGCCGGCTGATATTATTTGGTCTCCATCGGGACGGCTAACAACATCAACAATAAGAAGCTGTTTAGCAGTTGACTGATGGGTCAGAGGTAAAACAGGTGCCTGGTGAAGCCAAACAATGAACCCAGGGTAAAGAAATCGGTGTCTATAAAAAGATAGGAAATAAAAAGGATGAATACAGGACATCTTTAAAAACAGACACATATTCTTATTTCACTATGCAGAGGAGACAATATAAGACAAGTGTGGTAACATAAGTCAAGTGTAAAAAAAAAAAAAAAAAAGGCCCCAAAACAGCAATCCCATGTGCCGGAGGGATGCTTAGAGATGAACAACCTCGACTATCATTAAAGCCCTTTCCCTGTATAGCACAGTCCTATGATCCCAACCACACCTCTCTACATCACACAGTACAACATCCTTCAGTAAGTCAACGGGTAATACAATCCCTGCAGGGCAAACAGGGCTGTTCTCCAGGAACTGTTGGTATTTTCTGCAACAAGTTAGAGTTTCTGAATTGCACAGACATGGATGGAAAAAAAAAAAAAAAAAAAAAATAGATATGCATTTAACCAAAGGCAGAAAGCATTATATTCTCGGCCAGGTCCTGAGGTATTGTGGGGCGGGGGTGCAGAAATTCCATGTAAAGAACAGGAAAGGGGACAAAAGTATCAGTGGAAATGAACGGCACTTTTTACATTTTGAGTTAGAATTGAAATCTCCTGAAATGATTTGAAGCTGCGGGGACATGACCGGCCAGGGTTCATAGTCTTTTCAGTGGTCATTAAAAAGTCAGAATGGAGAAAAGAACGACCATGTGGGGTTTTTTTTTTGGGCCGGCCAGCCACCCACGATTCCCTACAGCAGGAAGTGGGCGGAGATGTTCAACCCCTCACTGAGGAAGGAGCCACATGGGACAATGTAATGCTTGACCTAAGCATTACATTGTCCCTTTTCCTTCGTTTATTTTTTTTATTTTTATTTCATCCATGGCTTCCAATCTCCCAGTTGACAGGAGTCCTTGTGCAACTGCGCCCCATAAATACACTTGTCCAAAGAACAACATCAGAGGAAGCAGAAAGGGGAGAAACTAACTATAAAGTATTTTAGGGTTAAAATCCAGCTGAGTGGTAAACAAAGTGTTGACTGTTTGGTTTGTGTGGGATATTCTTCTCCCCATTCAAGTGTCACTGATAAACAGGGAAGTAAACTCTTTGTGTATGCAGGTATAAAAGTGGGAGAGTGCGTATGTGCTGCTTAGCTCAACGGCAATGCAGTGTTGACGGGTCTCGGTTGTCCGTCCTCAGCTGGACGGGACTTGTGTGCTGCTGTGTTGGACCTTGCTGGGCCTCAGGGGCGGGGCTCCCTCACTTTCACCTCTCCTGTCACCAGTTGGCTTTGACAGCTTTGACGTCACTCACCAGGTTTTGAGCGAGGCAGATACCAAAAATCTGTGGAGGGAAGCACACGGGGCACGAAGGAAAGCGGTGTTTACAGAAAAGTAACGCAGAATACAGCATGTTTAGAGTCACAGGGGTTTGCGTGATGTTACCCGTTGTCACCACTAGATGGCAACGCTGATACAAAATCAGGCCCATTGCACATTGTTGGTTTTAGGCCAACAGCTTATTTCTAATGCACTAGGTTTCCTTGTGTAAACTTTTGTAAGAAAAGCCATCTACAAACAGGGACGTCTTACCTGTAAAAGGGCAACACCAACAAAGATTCCAGCTACGATAATCAGGTTGTCCTGAAGCCACTTCTCAAACTGTCCCACACAGCCCTTGGTGAAGATATATTTCTGCCGTTCCAGCTCCTTTTTTTTTTTGAAACAACAACAACAGATTAGAAGTTAATTTAAATGAAGAGGGGAATATACAGATTCTTTAAAAAAACAAAAACACATTAAAACGATCGTCTCTGAGACATCTCATTGGCCTTCTGCATGATTTAAACAAACATGAGATTTGTGAACTCTGGTGTATGACCAATGCTGAACTAAACAAACAGCACAGATAGAATTTTGAGCAGTGACTCCTTCACCGCTGGGGAGGGCATGATAGCTGAGTCACTCTTGGATTACAACGGGTCAGTGTCTGGACATCACGGGGAATATCAAGGCAGCGTGTTCAGTTTCTCGGGGGACCCTGTGTGGACTGAACAAACAGACGGAAGCTGTGTCCAGATGGCTGTTGGCGTTGTCAGATCCACACCATGGTATACATGGTCTATTCAGGGACGGAGATAAAAAAAAAAGGTGTAATTTAGAGCTGCAAAGACACTAAATTTTGGGGAGTAAGAATGGATGTGAACAGTATATACAATGCTCTCTTTGTTACTCTTCAAGACAATTCAACCAGGCGAACACTTTGTTCTCTTGTAAAACATGAAAGCCTGCTTTTAACCAATGGACGCTAAAGGGAGCCTTTGGCAGCCAATAAAAAAAGCAGGAAACATGATGTTGTTCTGGCTGTGAACTTCCTCTAAAGCTATTTCAGCCCCCTGCCTGTCCTCCCCACGTCTCCTGCTCTTCCTCTCCCTCAGCCTGCGCTCCATAAACAAGCTTCACAAGGAACTTATTGCACATCTCCGATAGTTTCAGCAAAATGTCAATGGCAGGGGCATTAGCAGGAGAGCACACAGGGGAAATTAATTCATACCAACTCAAGAGGCAGGTGGTTCACTGTATTGCAGTGCGACTAGCAACAGCAATGTCTCTGACTGCAGTGCAGTGAGTTGTAACCACCACACCCACACACAGAGGAGAAGGGAACGCACTGGCAGAACCCAGTTGCCAATTACAGAGTGTAGTAAGGCTGCTTCTCTGGGCTATAACTGGAGCCTAATTATCCCCGTTAGAAGAACAATCTGTTATTAAGGCAAGAAGCAGGAAGAGGGGCCTACACATTCTCTGGGTTGGCCAACGGTTGCTAGCTACACGTTTTTTTAGTGTTTTTCTTCATCTTTCTGATCGAGAATGTGAAGAAAAAAAGGCTATAAAAATCAAAGTTTGATTGGTTTATTCTATTTAATCCATGTTTTTACTGGGGGTTCGAGACAAGCAATCAAGCTCAATACAAATGAACCTGATTGCCACTCAACCCATCGCAAATGCTTTAGGTCGTTTCAATCAAACAGGTTCGCAGCTTGTCAATCAACTCAGGAGTGATGTCACTCAGCAGAAAGGCCGACACTGCCCGTCAATCACGCTCCACTACCGACACCGACTGTGAATGAGCAGTGGTTCTGTTTAACTGCTAGAATTTGATTAGACTTGAAATTGTCTAGATTTATTTGAAAAACACCACAAATCACAGTACACATTTTCAGAGAACTAGGTGTAGACAAGAGATGAACTGGAGAGTGAAGTAAACCACATATAGGGTTAAGTATATAGAGCGTGGTAGAGACATGTATAGAGAGACAAACCCATTGAAGCCGAACATCATAACCACACTGCGTGTTGATGACATCCTCCTGTAAAAAAAACAAACACAAAAATGAGAAAATCCTGTTTGAGATGTTGAATGTCGAGATGTGAGGGACGAGATCAGAAATGAAGTAAGTTAACTAACTGCTTAACTTACTTACTTTTTAACATACATCTATTATCTAATCTATATTAAACGATATCCAGTATACGATCAAGCACGACAAAGAAAAAGCATCACATACTCACATTCGAGTAGCTGAAACCAGCAAGTGGCATTTTCACTTAATAAAACAATTATTCTATTATCAAGTCAGCTGATGAATTTACTGTTGATCGCATCGTTACAACTCTACACTAGATTATGAATTTAAACCGTGATGTGTAACTATGCACCATCAATCATGCACTAATATGGTCGAATGACTCACTGCAGGGTCCTTGACGCAGCAGGAGAAGGGGACTCCGCAGCGCTCTCTGCTGGGGTTCAGGTCAGTGCAGTTGAAGTAGATGTTCATGTTCCAGTCGTCGGGCCCGTGAGCTCCACAGCACGACCACTGAGATGGCAGCAACAACAGGCAGAGATTAGGCAGCCGACTCCGGGTTAACGGAACAGATTTATTTGCTGTGATCTGGTCTTTGAACGGCTCTTTAGGGCCTGGCTCAGGTCAGCCTGGGTGGGTATGCCAGCTTACCGTGGCCGGTAGCGACTACAGATAGTGAGTCACAGATGGCGAGGCAACAGAGGATCTAATCGCCTTTACGGTACGTCATGACAGAGGCCAGTGTTTACACTCAGGAGCCAATTAGCTAAACTGTCGCATTCATATAATTGGATAATCATTTGAGGGAAATACAATCACATTAATCATGAGATTTACTCAGTGGCTCACTCGCTCTTCTCTCTGCCCACAACTGACCTGATTCAACAGCTTTGAAACTCAAATTTCTAGAGATGGGAGTGACTTCTAGGAAGGGAACATGAGCTGTTATGAGGAAGTCGGTTATAGTAACACACACGTTTTCAGTCAGTAGGTGTTGACTCACATATTCCTGGGCAAAGTCAATCAGATTCTGCAAGTCGATGTCATCGCGGTAGGCCTTGACATTATTGTTGATGAAAAGGTTGAGCTGGTCTTTGATCCAGTCCTTAAAGACGAAGGCAAGGATCCCCGCCGTCAGCTCCAAGAAGAAGATCAAACCCAGGAACACAGAGAACTGGAGAGGTACATGAAACACACGAGCAGAAAACAATAAATCATTCACTTCAAATCAGGAAATCTGGGAACACGAAGGAGAATCCTGTTGTCTAAAAGGGATCAGAGCACCACTAACAGTATTTCTGACATTTCTTGTAAAAGAATTAGAAGTACAACAGCTCTGATGTAATGTCCCTGTGCGGGTCTGGTTGTAAGGCTGGTACTGATTTGCTGAGTGAGAGTGCTGCAACAAAAACCGCAGTCCCAGAGGTGCTGTCATATCATCCCCTTTACAGTAAATGTAGGAGGAGACGGGGCTAATGATAAATGCACAAAAGCCACATTAGCTCCTTGCTCTGACGCCTGACTTACTGCTGCTAATGGACATTGGCTGGAGTTAATAGCTACTCAGCATCGCAGCCAGCAACAAGGCATGTTTGTCTCCGTCAGTCACGTGTAGTTATCAATACAGCTAGACGCAAACAAACCTCCCAAGACGGTGTTGCCGTGGCTTTGGTCGTTTAGAAAAAGACTAGAAAAATGTTTTGGTGGCTTATGAAGCTCGGATCGCCGTTTCTGATCATTACTTCCTGATAGAACAGGACTAACGCATATCTGTGCCACGCAGCCACCCAGAGCATTTGGCTCGGGCGAGTCACCTGCTGCAGTTGACAGCCCCGGCTCTGGTGTGAACTGCAGAGTTAAGGGGGCGTGAAGTGGTTGAAATGGTGTCTGTGCTCAGAAAGTCGGGAGCTGGGGCTTACAAATTTAAGCAGGGAGGTGTTCTCTCTGAGCGCTCCGATACAGCCGGCAAAGCCCAGGATGAACATGACCCCTCCAACGACGACGAAGAGCCACACGGGGTCCAAGCCCCCGAGATCTGTGATGGTTGACAGATTGGACAGCACGCCCTGAGGGAAAGGGAGGAAAAAAAAAAGACAAAACAGAGTGGTTACAATTCTGACTGTAATATTCCCCAAAAAATAACCTTACTATCTTAATTACAAGGTCCTCTCTCTATAAAGACACACAGCTAACCTTGAAAAGAGATCGTGATAACAAAGACAAATGGGGAGAAATTAACCGAGGTTGGGTTGTCCTGCTCAGAGATGCAGAAGCATCTATTAAAAGAAAATACTATTATTTGATAAGAATGTATCTGCTTTGTGTGTTGCTTCCTAAATACAATGACACAACCCCAGAGGTTTTTTGTTTTTTGTTTTAAATCATTTTATCTTAAAACTACATTTTGGCAGATCTCTGTCCAACCTATGAAACAAGTCACTGTTATCAGAAGGAGGCACAGTTCAGAGCCTTCCGCAAACATTCACCAACAGACATCTGTCCTTCCTCTCTGCACATCCTGCCCTCAGTGCCCCGAGGCCACAGTGCGTCCAATGTGTTTTCCCGTCAAGTCTCTGACACATTATTCAAACAGAAATGAAACCCTGACGCCAAAAGAGTGGATCTCACTGGAAGATGAGTCAACGTCTCAGGGTTTAGCACACCAGAGAGAGGGAGTGAAAAGGCTTGTTCGCACACGTGTTCCGGTTCGTTCATGATCTCTCATCAACTCTTTCTATATTCATCACCCATCTTCAAAGAGATCCCAGCGGGGGAGAATGTGTGTGTGCCTGCTCTCGGTTCTGACATGTTTGCTTGTCACATACAGTGCGCATGTCAAACACTTTGCAGCTAAAGCCCAAGAAGCTGAAGTCTCATAGTGCTTACGTTAAGCTCCCACTGCAGTGAGCAACTATGGGACAGAGGCACAACTGCAATCTGCTGTTTTTATGGCAATCCTGCAGAATAAAGTGCGTTTATTTGAATTTAAGCATGAAGCACATGGAAACAATGTAGCCTGGCTGAACACTGCCGGCTACAAAACCAATCATAGTCGCTGAGACCCCAAACTCACCATTGTGCCTTTTCCAGGACCCGCTATTTATCAATCGGTCTAATCCCTTTAAATATTCACGCGGTTCCACCAAGGTTCTCCCGGTGCAGGCCTATTTGCATAGAGTTCATGACCAGCCGTTACTAATCAGTACATGCCTCCACGCTGGCGCAGCATTTACGGAACAGGCCGGTACAATTCGGCCTAATTAATGAACAAATTGACTGTTAACTCGATAGGACGGAGTTTTTTTTATATCTGGCCATGATCCACTGCACACGAAAGGTTCACCCGATGTTTGCTGCTGGTATACTGTGGAAAATAAACAGAATCCAGATTCCATGCAGATATGAGGCACTGAATTCATGGTAGCTTTGTAATTTTGGCCTTTTGACTCCTTATTTGTTGCCATTACCAGCTTCTGTTAAAATTCTGCAACTATTGGAAAAACAGATTGTCTCAACAAAACTTTTCACAGTCACAAATCACACTTTGGCTGCAGCAATACAAACGAATTTCCTGAGAGGACTGTGGCATGTTTACCAGGACCATTATATGGTAAGATGCCTTTGAGTGCTCCAAAGCGTTACAGGAACAGGGCCTTTATTTTCCACGCCACTGTTCTTAAAAGCCCTGTATTTCTCCCCCCCCCCCCCCCCCAACTCTCTCACGCAAATTGTACTTCCAGCTTCTTTCCACCAGAGTGAAGAGAAGAATTTGAGCAATGTTGTGGAGGCAATCGTGTTGTATTTCAACAGTGTGCGTTTGTGTGACGTCTTGACTTACCTTCTCCGCCCATGCCCACAGGCCGATGCCCAAGAAGGCGGCTCCTAGTAACTGTAACACAAAGAAGAGTCACTTCACTGTCAGACGGAGAGCAGTGACATAATGAATAAAATCTATATTTGAGACTTAATAACCATCAAATAAAGTTAAGATAGAAAAAAAAACTTCACACACACGGTCCTGATAGACAGCCCTTTTTACTGTTGTTAAACTCTGATGTGGGTGAGGCTGTAGGAAAAAGGTGATGTCATGGAATACTGTGGATCAATCACAAACACAAGAAGAGCTCGTACAGAAACACAGAACTCTCTCAGTGAAAATAACCAGTTTATAGTGCGTTTACGTTGAACCCCATCACTTGTACAAAGAAGCTAAATGAGAAAATTGGCTTTCAGAACCTTTAAAGAAACCCAACTTGTGAGAAACGTTTTACCTTGCTGTGGACAGAATGAATCATTACATCAGGTTATCGCAGGTTAGAGTCATTGCGCTGCACACTTAAGAGGTTGGAGGATCTGATATCCTGAGAGTTAAGGATAATCCCTTCGGCATTAGCCTCCTTTCCCAGTGAAGGATGGTTGTAGGGCTCACAGTTCAAAACACGCCAAAACAAAACGTTGAAAAGCACCAGGGGTGACTGCTTTAAATGGACCACCATGTGTGAAGAAACTCTCAAGTATACATAGTATACTATAGAAGAATGGTGGCAGGCTAAAATGAACCATTAACACATTCATCTGCACAAAATGAAAGACACAACACACAAGTACATTCATATCACAAGCCCCCCACCTGTCTACCCTAGTTCTAAGTCCTATAGGGCCTCATTAATGCATCTCCACACCTCATGGAATTGCTTCATTTTACTGCGATGGTCAAATAATATCGAATAAATTATTTCCAAATATGTTAAGTTAGGGCCATTTTTTTCAGCGTTTTATAAAAAGCTTCATATAAACGAGGAAGGAAAAGACAGCCGTAGGATATGCTAAAAAAATACACAGATCAGCCGAGACTTTTGTTTTACAAATAACAGAAATGCATTCTTGAATTTCATTCCACTCTTTGTTTGATTTTGCACAAATCAAGAAGGAATGCACGTCTTGAGAGCCACACTTCACACACACACACACACACACACACACACACACCTATCAGAGGAATCTGTGTTTCATCTCCATCACTTTAGTCTTATCATCAAGTGGTACAGCATTAAGAATCATTTCTCTTTTGTGGTAATGCTGTTATTGAGATATTGCATTTCTAACATTTTATGTTCGCTTCTTTAAAATGGAGATCTTTATTCCATTCATCAAACAACGTTCGCAGTGAGCTCTGTTTAGACTGTTTTTTTTTTAGCAGCATGTGCAATTAACTGTATATTTGTACATCTTTTAACACGTCTTTAAAGGGTACCAAATCATGTTGTAAATTGATTTTTTTAATAATTAAGTTTTTTTTTGCTATAATTATCAAAAAGAATATTTTTAAATCCTGGTTTGTCTGCGAATTTATTCTTCAGGTTTATTTCTGTAAATGACAGAACCCTAATGTGCATACTCCTATCAAATACATGTTTAATTCCCCTACTTCAGCTCCACATTTTGGATTGTTATTGATGGATTATTCCACATTTGCATGCTCCTAGGAATACTATGATGCAATTTTGATCCATGATTTGACTGTGGTATTTATAACAAAGTGAGATACTTTTATACTGTAATTTGTAAAGAGAGATGTAAATAGGTTGTGAGGATTTAATTGTTTGCTTTTAATATTTATCCAGGCTTTTCAGCTCTGTTTTTAAATGTAAGACCCCTTCTGTTCATGGATTTTAGAGTTCTACTTAATCGACGTGCTTTATTACAGATTTTCTTTTTTTTACAAAACAACAGTACGGCTTTAAGTGAATATTCCCCACTTTTGGTCGTGTGGTTTTATTGGTATAGTAATATTTTCTAATCAGCTGCTTAGCATGCCACAAAATGTCATTCCTAAGAGATTTGGGAAGGTAATGAACTTAACTGAGGCACACTATAACGACCAGAAACATAACAGTTCCATTGAAATTGGATTAAATCATGAAGCTGATTAAATCTTGGGCAGCAGGTACACTGATGGCAATCCGTCAACATCCATAACAAGAGCAACAGCAGTGACTGTGAGGCGTTGCTTCGGGCATGTTCCGGTCGATGCATAAGCAGTTCTTGTGAAGGGTGTGGTGAGTTCCACTGGAAGGAGGGGAAAAGTCCCGGTAAGCACGTGGAGATCAGGTAGAGGAGATTAGCCTGACGGAGGGAGTATTAAACCATTTAGCCTCCGACTCTAAATAATCCACATGGATTAAAAAGAGACAGAGAAAACAACTCTCAATTTACAGCAAGGAAACTACTGTTGTTACACAACCCCGTCTAAGGTCTCACTTTACTGAATGGGTTCTCTGTTAGATATTGTGGATAATGACCGGTTGTGAATGCTTGATAATGATTCATTATACAACATTTTTAATTGAGGAAAGTAGAAGTGGGATATTATTCACACCGCGCTGTGAAGAGGAGCTTCAGAGAGACTTTGTTTTTAAAGGAATATATATACACATTCAGGACAACAGTTTGTCTGTTATATCAAAGTTGGCAGTATTAGGCAGCTCATGCAATAGTTCGAATTTATTTTCAAATGAAATATAAAACAAGTGTGGGTGTCATTGTCTCAGGCATTGCCAATCACTCTAGGACGAGACAACACCTGTATGTGTTCCAACATGTTTTCGGATGCGATTCCTGAATCTCTCTTTATTCAAATTAAGAGGCTGGAATTTCTTAACACGCAGCACACAAAGTTGTGTCCTTGAGAGAACGTCGGTCTTCATTACAGAAACTTCCCAAGTCTGAAATCCTGTCTCGTCTTAGTTTAAGATGGCATTTAGTATTTTGGGAATTATTCCAAACATGTTTCCTTACTGCACATCTTATCTTAGAATAGGAATTTAGCTATTACAAAACTGTCATCACTTAGGAATCTTTTTAGTTAGGAATCATAAATTACAGTAAGATTGCTTATGTCCTAATGTCCTAAATTCTGCCACAATTGGCAGCAGCACTGCTGTTTGCTTGCTGTGCTACGTCCGTCTCTGGAGAGGGCTTACAAAGAGGCACAAAGGGGCTCTGCCGGTCGTCGCACAGAGCATAAACACACTGTATTTTTTTAGGGTGACTTCCAGACTGAGGTGGCAGATCGTGTGTACATTCTAAACATAGATATGACAGCACGAACGCCGACTGAAGTTAGTTAGGATTTCTTAAGTAAAGAGAAGACAGGAGGTCTGAAATAAGACAGGACACAGCCATGACTTTAGGAATTGCTTCACTAATTGGATTAGGAAGTTTTGGATTTTACCGATCTTTGAAACTTAGGGTACAATAGGATGAGCAGTGAGGATACGTTTCTGTAATGAGGCCCCTGAAGGCTAGTCTGAACCTGTGCCTTCTTTCCAATCCAAACACAGAGCCCACTATGAAGGTTGCATTAAAGCAGCACTTGACGATTTGACAATATCCAGTTTATCAGCAGGAAGTTGGCTATAGCATTTTGAACTACAGTTCCCAACATCAGACATTAAATGCTAAAATTAGGAGTCCCACTAAGGATGTTGCTTATTACAGCATTAAACTTATGTTTACGGATAGCATACATACACTCACTCACCGGCCACTTTATTAGGTACACCTTGCTAGTACCGGGTTGGACCCCCTTTTGCCTTCAGAACGGCCTTAATTCTGCGTAGCATAGATTCAACAAGGTGTTGGAAACATTCCTCACAGATTTTGCTCCATATTGACGCGATAGCATCACGCAGTTGCTGCAGATTTGTCGGCTGCACATCCATGATGCAAATCTCCCGTTCCAGCACATCCCAAAGGTGCTCTATTGGATTGAGATGTGGTGACTGTGGAGGCCATTGGAGTACAGTGAACTAACTCATTGTCATGTTTGAGATGATTTGAGCTTTGTGACACGGTGCATCATCCTGCTGGAAGTAGCCATCAGGAGATGAGTACACTGTGGTCATAAAGGGATGGACATGCTCAGCAACAATAGGCCGTGGCGTTTAAACGATGCTCAATTGGTACTAAGAGGCCCAAAGTGTGCCAAGAAAATATCCCCCGCACCATTACACCACCACCAGTAGCCTGAACCGTTGATACAAGGCAGGATGGGCCCATGCTTTCATGTTGTTTACGCCAAATTCTGACCCTACCATCTGAATGTCACAGCTGAAATCGAGACTCATCAGACCAGGCAAAGTTTTTCCAATCTTCTATTGTCCAATAGTGAGCCTGTGTGAATTGTAGCCTCAGTTTCCTGTTCTTAGCTGACCGGAGTGGCCCCCGGTGTGGTCTTCTGCTGCTGTAGCCCGTCTGCTTCAAGGTTCCACGTGTTGTGTGTTCAGAGATGGTGTTCTGCATACCTCGGTTGTAACGAGTGGTTATTTGAGTTACTGTTGCCTTTCTATCATCTCCAACCAGTCTGCCCATTCTCATCTGACATCAACGAGGCACTTTCATCCAAACAACTGCCTTCTCTTTTTCGGACCATTCTCTGTAAACCCTAGAGATGGTTGTGCGTCCCAGTAGAGCAGCAGTTTTTGAAATACTCAGACCAGCCCGTCTGACACCAACAACCGTGCCACGTTCAAAGTCACTTAAATCCCCTTTCTTCCCCATTCTGATGCTCGCTTTGAACTTCAGCAAGTCCTCTTCACCACATCTAGATGCATAAATGCATTGAGTTGCTGCCATGTACTGATTAGCTGCCATGGCTGATTAGCTATTTGTGTTAACAAGCAATTGAACAGCTGTGCCTAATAAAGTGGCTGGTGAGTGTATATTGTTTTGTATTTTCGCCTGCCCACCGTCACATGGCTGATGTACTTCCTGTCTAGTTTCCATTGCTCTGTCCTCAACAGGAAATCAGGAGTTGAGGAAACTTTTTGAAACATTTACAATCGACATAATTAGCCAGAGATCATTGAGAATGGCTTGAATTTTAGTGGAAACATTACCAGAATTCAGTGATATCTTCATCCGTTTCACAAAGTATGCATGTTATGTGGGGAAAGCAGACATTTCTGGTGATACCAGAGCTACAGCGAGGAGACAGAGAGCACAGAATGATTGATGGCATGTGTCATAAAGTATGTATAATATAGGTTGGCTTGTTTGAGTAAATATACAACTATTTATGGATGATTGCAAATCATCAATGCCCTGGCGGTTGAGTAAGGACGCATCACAATCTCTCCTGTTTGTTCTCTCCTATCAACTATCCAATAAAGCAGGAAGAAAGCTGGTGCTTCACAATTGTACTTCTTTTATATTTGGCAAATTTTGTTATTATTTCCGGTCAAAAGTACCTCAATGCTCGACACGTCAAGTTGCATTTCTCCAGCTACAGCTTGAGGCCACCTTGAAGGCAGCATAAAGTGGGACAATATGTAGGTAAGCATGGCGAGCATCAGCCCTCTCATTTCAGCGTACTATGTCTTACACGGTTTCTCAGTCTCTTTCTCAGCCATGGCACCATTAACTTTATTTCTAAAACACACAATAATTCAGCAACACAGCCGAACAAAACTTAAAATAAACACACGACTAAAAGTAAGTAAATTCAAGCAACACACAAAAATGTGAAGCTCAACTAAATGCAGGGTTCCTACACATTTTCCATTTCAAAATTCCGAACTTTTTCAGACATCTCAGCAGGTGTTTTTTTTGATACCATATTGGGCTTTTTTGACGTGGTGACTGGGTGCAGAGGATGCTGCGACAGGCCTACAGTGCTTCTGTCCTTGCATATGGCTTACAATTGCCGCCTCCCCCCATGTAGGGATGTCGAACGATTTCACACAGAGTTTGCAAGCTAGCTTTCTTTTCCCAAACAAACTTCATAGGACTGTCAAGCCAGCCCCCAGAATACTCTCAGATAGAGGTAGACATTTGCTGCCTGCTCAAAACACCATGAAAAACACTCTGCTTCAAGGATAAATTCTTGAATGTTATATTTTAGAAAACAGAATAGGGACAATAGTATGGAAACACAAATATTATTCCATACTATCCAGACCTGAAAATTACTCAAATTATATTCATTACTTTTCCCTGTAAATGTCTTTCTTTTTGTCCCTCTACTGCAGAGACTTGAGCCACGGTTACGTCAAAGTATCACTTAGGTAATGTTGTGAAGAGTATTACTGTATAAGCCTCACACACGGTTCAACACAACATAAGCATATTCTTTGTAGAGCATTTATCTGCAAACCAAACTTCCCTCCCGGCACAATAAGGCTGGATTGAAGTGAATTTGACAGAGCGAGGACATTGAACCTGCGTTTGTACACTTCTTGCGGTATTTTCCTTTCATCTAACTTTTCCCACGCAGCGAGCAGTGAAAGAGTCACATTCAGCTCAGTCGGTGGCATTGAAACACACACCCTGTGCTAAACTCTGTCAATGCTACTCTCAGAATAAAATGTTCTTCAGATTATCAGTGCTAATTTTGCACCAGATTCACATTCATGGTCTTGTATCTCTCAGGAATTAAGCAATAAAACTAAGAAAAGCCCAGTACTGCGTTTCTGTTCTTACTTTATACCTCATTGCTTGTGTTTATTTGGAGATCGTTTTAAAAGATTAATTTCTTTTTATCTCACCTGCTCTAGGAAGCTATTTGTTTCCCGTTCCTCTGTACACTTGTATCTACCTAATCTATGTGTTGTTATCACGGAGCAAATAAACTAAAATCTGGAACTAGATGTCCCTGTACCCGCCTCGTTATTCAAATCGGGCTGCTCTGGTTATTTTTCTGTCCAAGTGCTGCTGCAGGATGTGTGTGTGTGTCCTAGGGCGAGCACTTCCTCTGGATGTGGGGGGGGGGGGGGGGGGGGGGGG